TTGAGTCTCACAGGTTAAATGTGGTTGCTTGTCAAATGACCACAAAAACATTAAACACAAAATAAAAACCCAAGCCAAATGATTTTATTCTTGGACAGATTATGGGACATTTAACCCCCTTGACTATGTTATCTCGAGTATGCTTAATATTTTGTATTGGGTCCAGTCTGAATATAAGGGCCCTTCAGCCTAGAAACATCTTACTGTGTTAGCTGTCTGCTGTCCTTTTGAAAGGGAAGCCAGTTGACTGCCTCCTCTGCTTAAGTTTTTGCTTTATTGAAGTTTCTTTACTGTATACTAGTTATGAAGAAGTTGTTTTTCTCTACTATGAAAAGAAGATAGCAATTGGTGTTCTCATCACTAGTTTTTTTATAATTATACTTTCATTTTGTTTTTTTTTTTTTGCAAGGTTCATTTTTCTGCATCTTGGTTCCTTGGTTCTTGCCTTGATCCTATGTGCAGTTTTTTGCAAATACTATTTCTTAGCAATAGTCTAATATAGGTTTTTATTTGCCTGTTTTAGTCCACTAGAGCTACTGTAACGAAGTACTACAGACTGGGTGGCTTTATAAGCAACAGAAAGGTATGTTTCACAGTTCTTGAGGCAGGAAACCCAAGATTGGGTGCCAACATCTTTGGTTCTTGCCTTGATCCTATGTGCTGTTTTTTGCAAATACTATTTCTTAGAAATAGTCTAATATAGGTCTTTATTTGCCTGTTTTAGTCCATTAGGGCTACTGTAACAAAGTACCATAGACTGGGTGGCTTTATAAACAACAGAAAGGTGTGTTTAACAGTTCTTGAGGCAGGAATCCCAAGATTGGTCACCAACATCTTTGGTTCTTGCCTTGATCCTATGTGCAGGGTTTTGCAAATACTATTTCTTAGAAATAGTCTAACACAGGCTTTTATTTGCCTGTTTTAGTCTATTAGGGCTACTGTAACAAAGTACCACAGACTGGGTGGCTTTATAAACAACAAAAAGCTATGTTTCACAGTTCTTGAGGCAGGAAACCCAAGATTGGGCACCAGCATGTTTGGGTTCTGATGAAAGCCCTCTTCTGGGCTGCAGGCTGCTGACTTCTTGCTGTATCCTCATATGGTGGGAGGGGCAAGGGAGCTCTTTTTTTAAAGGGCATTGCCCTCATTTATGAAGGCTCCATTCTCATGACCTAATCATCCCCTCCACCCCACCCCATCCTCGCTATAGGTCCCACCTTCTGATACCATCATATTGGGCATTAGAAATTCTACACAGGAATTTTTTTTGGGGGGAGGTGGAGGACAAACATTCAGACCATAGTATAGCCTATTTCTAAAGTGAATTCTAGATGCCAGATCATGTTGTTTTATTCAAAATAAGTTTTTTTCTGTATTGGAAGGTCTGTTATATCAGACACATGGTTACTGGAGCTATCATATTGTTTGACATTATGGGCTAGACATCTCTCCCAATCATGTTTACAATATTACATTGGTTTTTTTTTTCCTGTTAAGAATCTCAATTTGGCCTTTTCCTAAAACAACCATTGTCAGTTTAATTATATTTTTGCCTCTAGTTAAAATCACTTGCTCTATACACTGGCTGTCTTGTCCATGTTTGAGGAAACTCCAGTTACTTTTCAGTGCATTTTTTCAAAGATCTATCACCCAAAAGGTGTGAAGTCCTCAAGATTTGAGAAGGCATTTTATTAATCTCTGTATCACAAGCATCTGGTATATAGTAGGTATTTATGTTTATTTAAATGAAGGAATTTCACCATTACAGATTCACCATTTCTATATTTTTCCACTTGTTCCCTTCTGATATGGTTCCTTTGTTTGTTCCTCAAAAGTCATAAAGATATTATATGTGCTTATAAATATTCCTTAATGTAGCTGGTGAAAGAGGTAGGGAGCTAAGCTTATGTTCTCGCGTAAGGTCACATGACTACTGATGGTTAGGGTGGACAAGAGCCTTCTAAGATGCTTGAGCACAAGAGTGCCAATGTTCTGCCACAGCTGCCATTAGAAAAAAATTACTTCGGACATTCAAGATTACTGATTGTTACTAGAGTCCCATTGTATATGAAATAGCTTAGCTGTTACTTAGCAAATCTGTAAGGTTTTAAAAAGCATTTTAAAAATCTTTGGTTTGGTTACATTTTCTGTCTTACGTAGCAAAGTTCACTCCAATTTATTGGTCTAACTGATGGCATTTGAGACATTTAATAGTAAATTCATTAGCCAGTTCTTCTTTTTGAAAGATGCAAGGTTGATACCTGTTATAAATAGAAGTGCATATACTGCCTCTTCTAGATTACTGCCTTAAATTGCACCTAGAAAGAAGTTAGTAGATAGTTGACAGTGCAGGTCATTGATAGAAGTCTCAGTAGAGTAACACTGCTTCATAAAACATGTCATTGGTTCATATTATAGGAAACTAAAAATATAAACTTTAATGTGAATGAAACAACATTTCCATGTAACATGTTGCTGTTCTAGTTCTTGTATACAAATTTTTTATATGTAGCTTAATGGGTAATTAATTATAAGCCAGCCATTTTTTTCAAAATTATATTCAGTGTATCTTTTGTCCTTTCTGTTAGAGTATTATTCATTTTATATAATGATTGAATCTTTACATTTAGTAAACGTAGGAGTAGTTATAAGGTTGGAGAATTTGCTAGATCTTCCTTTGATAATGTTTATTGTCAATGTTACTAGCAGTTTGGAGGCATTTTTCCCATCTTTATTCAGGCATAATTGACATATAATAAACTGTCCAAATTAAAGTGCATCTTGAGTTTTAACATATGTATACACCTGTGAAAACCTCACTGCAACTTAGATAATGCTTGTTTCTATTACCTCCTCCCCCACCCCCCAATTTCCTCCTTTTTTATTTCATTCCCCTTCACTGCCTCGCCAGGCAACCACTGACCTGCTTTCTGACTCTATAGACCAGGTTGCATTTTCTAGAATTCTTTTATAAATGGAATCATATAACAAATATTCTATTTTGTCTGGCTTATTTCATTCAGCATCATTATTTTGTGATTCATGCATGTTGTTTATATTAATAGTTCTTTCCTTGTTATTCCTGAGTGGTATTCCACTGTATATACTACAAATATACTGTACCACAATTTCTTTACCCATTCATATGTTGATGGACATTTGAGTGTGTCCTATTGTATATAGAGCTGCCAGGAATATTTGTGTACAAGTCTTTGTGTGGACATAGATATTTACTTCCCTTGGGAAAATACCTAGGAGTGAGATGGCTGGGTCAAATGGTAGGTGTAAGTTTGACTTTTAAGAAAACTCCTAGTTTTACAAAGTAGTTGTAATATTTCATGTTTTATATTTCTTCTAGCAGCATTTAAAAATTAAAATTGCTATTTTGGGAGTCACTTTTACATTTATTTCACTTTTTCAGTTGTTATATTGGAACCATACTTTTTGGGGATACAGGGAAGGGCTAAAATATTTAGACGTTTTCTTCTGAGAACTTTAGGTAAACATCTTTTTGGAGGATTCGTGAAAATTGGAACTCTTTTCAGTAAGACATGATCAATGTGTGAGTCCATTTTTTCCTTAGTATGTGAAATGGGAAAAAAATGTGTTCTTAACTTCAGATTTCATAAAAAGAGGAAAGAAATACTTATAGTATTTGAAGAATTTGGTTTTCTAAGTAATTGCCAAGATAGTGTGAATCAGACATGAGTTTTATAGCATTTAGTATAGTTGCAGATTTAATAGGAGTAACTCTGGAAATCTTATAAAATAGGTTATGTAAGAATTTTCTTTGAAAAATCCCCAAAGTCATCTGTTAGGTACAGTGTTTGACATAATGCCTCTCCCTAAGTTCAGCGCAGTTCCATTTTCTGCTGCATTAGCCAGTGTTTATTTGCTTGCCACCGTGAAGTGGTTAGCTTGTGTGTACGGGTTGAGTCTAATGAAAAAATATGTAATTTAAAACACTAGAATTCTATTTGGCTTAATGCATAAGACATGTGGGAACTGATATAAATGGCATAGCAGATTAACATCTCATGCTGACTTTGGGTCATAAGTATACATTTTATTGAGAGGAATGGTGGGTAGAATTGCCTGTATCATTTAATTTAATTTTTATTTCTATCATTTTTTTTGCTGTGTGTAAATGGTTGTATTCTCATAAATTAAATGCATATATGATGTCACTGCATTATAATATAATATGGCAGCAGCTGAATGCAAATAGAGGTAATAATTTACTAAGAGTAGGGTGACTGATAGGCAGGTTTATTAAATATGTGTCCATTGGCCCTTTTGAGCTTACCTTAAGGGATTAGCAAGGATAAGTAGCCGTCTGCACTTATTCCGTGCTTCTTTCCCATCCTTTTCCTGCTCTACCTTATTTTTTTCTTTCTCTCTTGCTTATCTTTATAAATGCTTCCCAAAACCATAAGTATAAATCAGTGGTACAATTATTTTCTGTAGCTTTGTTGTGTATGTAAAATAAACTAAAAAATGATTCCAACAATATGTTCTGCTTTCATGAATCTGAGCTTTTAACTGTTTGTAAACATTCAAAGTACTTCTGTATAAAACATTAAAAAATCTCCTTTAGTTGCTTAACTTGTAAAATGCATTGTTTGATTTTCATACTTTGCTAAGAGGTAACAATTTTTATCTCTTTCACTAGCGAGAGTAATCAGTAACTGATGAGACAGTGTGGCAAAGAGGAAAGTTTACTTGACTTAGTGTTGCAGATCCTGAGCTTCAGCTCTATCACTAACCCACTTTGTAATGCTGGGAAAGTCACATTTCTTATCTGTAAAATGTGGGGAGTGGACTTGATGATCTTGAAAATTATGGAGATATTCTTCTGGGGAAGGGGAAGCAAATTTATAAAAGAAGTTGTTTTTAGAAACATTTTTATCTTGTAATGTAGGTTGTCCCATAAAGTTAATGGCTTCAGTAGAAATGATGTATAATCACTTTTGAATTTGTGTGTATCTCATCTCTTGCAGGATGCTTTAATCTGGATCCCAGTAGAGTTTTGGATGTCATTTTAGAAGTGTTTGAATGCAGGCCAGAACACGATGAATTCTTTATATCTTTATTAGAATCTTATATGAGTATGTGTGAACCGCAAACACTGTGTCATATACTTGGATCCAAGTTCAAGTTTTATCAGGTAATAAAAAAATGTGTATATGTGTATCTCTATATATCAATGGAGAAAGAGGGGGAGGTTAATTTCATCATTTTATATGTACAGTTTAATTTGATTTTGTTTGTAAATGATTGGCTCCAGCTCAGCCATTCAAGCAGAGGAGAGAAGATAAATGGATAGGTAACAAAGCAAGATGATCAGTGCTATATTAGTAGGGTGAATGGTTTGATGTGAAAGCCTAGAGGAAAGCATAATAAATATTTGCCTTTCAAGAGATGGAATCGGGGAGGACCTTAGAGATACGACCTTTTTTTCACCTGGTTCTTGGAGGATGAGTAGAAGTTTTTTGAGAGTTGTCCATGCAGGCGTAACAAGTACTGTGAGAGTGAGGACATGACAGTATGAATGTATGCAACAGATTGAAGAAATGGTACATAATCTGATGTGGCTGGATTGTAAGATGGGAAAAGAAGGGACCAGAAGTGAAGTTGGAAAGTTAGGTGCACTTTAGATTGTCAAGGTCCCTTGATATCTGTGCTGATTTAGAATTTTACTGAATAGATAGTACCCATCACAGTGACCTTTGGAATTTTTTATGGATGTGAATAAATTCTTAAGGCATATCGTAGCATAAATTTTCATTTAAAACACTATAGTAATTATCTAACAAATCTATGCTTTGGATTATTTCTGTTTCAATCCATTTTTCATATTATTACTATTACATTCTAAAATAGATGTAATTGACACACTGCACAAAAACCTCTGCCTGCAGAATGAAATTCAAACTTCCAAACATGGTAGAAAGGCTCCTCACAATCTAGCCCCATTCTTTCCTTCTATCCTCATCTTTAGTGATTTCATTTTCTTAAACCTAATATTCTCATCATAAGAAATTCCTAGCCATTTCCTGCATTTAGGTAAAGACAGTGCTACGTATAAACCTTTGTTTACATGCAGTTCTTTATAACTAGAAAAGTGTTCTTCCCCAACCATCTCACCTGTCTTTTCATCTTGTGAACTCCTATTTATTCTTTAAAATCAAGTGCTTCTTGTTCTGTAATTTCTTCACTGACACTTCACCCATGCAGAATTAGTCACTTTTTAATCTCTGTTCTCATAAAACTTGGCACAGAATTCTGGTACTTATCAGGTTATATTAGAATAAAACATATCTACATCCTTTGCAAGATTGTAAGCCACGTAGGACAAGGTCTGTGTTTTACTAATTTTTCTGAATTAATTTACTACTTAGCCTATAGTAAATGCTCACTAATTGTAAATGAGTGATCTATGTTTTAGGAAGATAACTGTTGATAGCATGGAGAATTTTAACATAATAAGGCCTCCATTGTCCTGTTGGTATAGCTTTCCTAATTTGTTTTCCTGCCTGGGGTACTTAGCTAGTCAAGAAATACTCATTTATTGAGTGTTTATGATAATGGTGTTGCTTTGCTAGGCACTGAGGATACCCTGGTGAAGAGTGTGTATTCCTGTTCTCTGAAGGTCAAGTTTAGGATAATAATACAGTTTTTTAAGGATTTTCAAATGATAATATCACCTACTGCCTTTGCTTATCTTTGATTTCCCATTTTTTGGGATGTTGCAGAAGAGAAGTCAGATGAGAACTTGAAAGCGTATACCATTTTGATACCAAACAAGACTCATGGCAGGGTTTTCAGGCAAGAGCACTTTATCTTTGTTCAAGAATTGATGATAGCAGCTGTCCCCTGTTTCACCAGCAGCCAGGGAGGCCACTGTTAGTACAGGCAAAGAGAAGTTCAAGTATTTAATCACATTTTAAGAGGCACTGTGATTGCTTTGGGTTTGAGAACATGAAGCCAACTGCTGACATGACAGGGTAGCTGAAATTTAACTTGAGCATGCATGACTAGAGTATAGGTTAGGGCTTTGGAAATTGTAGGTCTTGGACCATATTGCAGTGAATAATGATAATCCACTGCATAACATCAAGTATTGCGAGTTTTAGAACTGAAATTTTTATATGAAAATATTCCTCATAATGGTAACACTTTTTGGGCTGAATTAAAATATCCCTGGGGGTCTTGACAATGTTGGAATAATCCTTTTTTTCAAAAATAGAATCTCTTTTTCTTATATGAGAAATGCCCAACCAAAAAATATTTGACTTTGAAATAACCTATTATTAGAAAGAATAACCCTCATATTATAACACCATTCCCTTGTTTCTATTACCCAAGTTATCTTGTTGTGACAGTCTGCAGTCTTAAGGACCATTGAGGGTAAGGGAAGAAAAGTGTTAGAATTTTTACTGTGTTGGAGGTAAAGGAAGGAAAGTCATAAAAATCAGGAACTGCTTAGGGACTACACCCCTTGTAATTGGTTCCTGGACATGTATGGTCACCCTGTTTATTGGTCCCTTAATTTACTCCTCCCTTCCCTCATCCTATCACTGCCTGAAAATGTCTACAGCCCATATTTTCACCAGTTGGGAATTATTTGGATTAACAGGCTTCTTCCCACTCCCCCCATTGCTAAGACTTTTTGGCAAAGTTAATTATCTTGCTGTGAAGTCAGTGAGAGTGATTTTATTCTGTTTTCAACCTGCTCATACTGGGTGTTTTGACTTGGAAAGATAGTAGGGGATATAAGCAGTTTTAGAGCACACGACCATTTTGGAAAATTGGGCAGGCACATTTGATTGATTTTCCTAACAGGGATTACTGCAATAGAGGGTTTCAGGACAACATGAGGGTCAACACAAAGGACAGGAGGAAGGAAGGAGTACTAGAAGGTGTGAGGGTACCCCAGGACTCTTAGGCTGGAGTTGTCTTGCCATCAGAAAGAAGAGCAAGATGATCACTCTCACCCGTATCACAGCCCCTTCATTCCTGGATTCAAGACAAAATAATAATAGTAATAGTGGTGCCATGGTTAGGCACTGTTATAACTGAAATTCATTCATTTAAGAAATAATGATTGAGCACCTCTTGTGTGCTAGGCAATGTTTCAGGTGCTGGGGTGAACAAATAGAAATCCTTGCCTTCATGATCCTCACATTCTAAGTAAGTTACATTGTATGTCAGAAGATGATCATTGTGATGGGGCAAACATAGAGTAGGATAAGGAAGATTGGGAGTGTTGGGAGTGGTAGGTTGCAATTTTGAGTAGAATGGAGAGAGTGGACCTTGTTAAAAAGGTAAGATTTCAGCAAAGATACAAAAGATGTGAGGGTGTAAATGTGCAGAAAATCTGGGGAAGAACCTTCAGGTTAAGAGAACTGCCAGTGCAAAGGCCTTAAGGTGTGAGCATGCCTGATGTGTTGAAGAATAGCAAGAAGACCAATGTGGGTGTGTCAGGGTGACTGAATGGCAGAGCGGTGGGGATGAGGTCTAACACGAGGGGCCACATTACACAGAGCCTAGTGCACGGTTTTTAACTTTGATGCTGGATGAAGCCAGTGGAGGATTTTGAGTAGGAGAGTGATATGCTCTGACTTTGTGTTTTCATTTTATTTCTCTTTTTCTTTTCCACTTTATTATGAACATTTTCAAACATATAGGGAAGAGCGAATAGTGAAATAAATACCCATAGCCCATCACTTAGAAGCAAGTTTATAAACATGTTGGTATACTTTTTTGGAAATAATTATTTGTATTGCTGATATCATGAACATTTACTCCTACATATGTTAGTGTGTGCTTTTTAAAAGGTCATTTTTCTGTGTACCATGATACCAATTTCATATCTAACTAGATTGCCATCGTTATAGTGAACTCAGACCACATTCATATTTCCCAAATTATCCCTGAAATTTTATAGCTGGTTCATTCACGTGATAATCCAAAGACCAAACATTACATTTGATTGTTAGGATTCATCAGTCTCTTTTAGTTTAGAATAGTGCCCACCTTACCATTAATGGCATTGACTTCTTGAAGAGACCATTCCCATAGAAGACTCTGCCTTTTGGATTTATCTAATTACTTTTTCATGATTGGTTTAATTTGTTCTTTGTCCCCTGTCTTTTATATTTGGAGTTAGGTCTAAAGTCTTGACTGTGTTCAGGTGAAATGTTTTATCTCAGAAATATTTCATAGGTTGTACTATATATTTCATATAACATAATGTCTAATATCTGTCTGACTTTTAACATTCCAGAATACTGGTGACAGTCTAATATCTCCATTATACAATAATATTTCCGTCCTTGCCGATAGCAAGTAATCTGTAGTTTGTCACTTTGGTACCATGTGAATATCCAGTTTTTCATCAACCTTACATTAAGTGTCTTAGAATAGATGGATGATCCTTTCCTGAATCAGTTATTTCCTTAGCAGTTCCAAATTTTTCATTCACTAATTTTATCATGCCCCCTACATTTATTAGCTGTCATTCTTCTATAAAGAAGAGTTGTCCCTTATAAACTTGGGTTGTTTGGTTACCCTGAAATGAAGTTCCTATGAAAGCCAGGGAAAATGCTTTACTTTTTCCCCCATTAGTTACTAGCTGGCAGAGTGAGGAGCCTCTTTAGTAGCCACCTCTAATGGTGATATGAGTGGTGAGTGTGTGAGAAAGAGACAAAAGAGACAAAAAGACAGAGTGCATTTGCGTGTTGGCTTAGGTTTTCAAAGAATCAATATGGTTATGGTAGCAGTAGAAGTTGACGAGATCCTGAACATAATTTGAAGGTAGAGTCAGTAGTATTTGCTAATGGATTAGATACAGAATGTGAGAAAGTAGAGTTAAGGACTATCTTAACATTTTTTTTGGACTGACCATTTAAAAAGGTGATGTTGTCATCATTGGGATAGGGTAAATTTTAGGTGGAATGGGTTTGGAGTGTTGAGAATAGGAGTTAGGAATTTAGTTTTGGACATGTTAAGTTTGAGGTTGTGTTAGATATCCAAGTGCAGATGTTGAGTAAATAATTGGATATATGGATCTGGTGTCCAAGAGAACAGAATGGGCTAGTGATAGAATATTGATGTCAAAAGCATGTAGATATTTAAAGTGGTGATACTGTATAAACTCAACAA